ACTGTGAGACTCCTCAAAGTACCGCCAAATGCCAATTGGCACCAATTTGACTTATCACTTATCACTTAAGCCGCACTAAACATAGATCTCAGTCTTATCACTGTCTCGCGTGACATAGATAATAAATAAGTGATAATAAAAATGATATCATCGAAGATCGCCGATCAAAAACGAAGATAAAATCGTACTTATACGTTAGCTCTAAAGAGTAGAGAGAGAGCCTTAATAATAGTACTAATAATAATATTAAGGCTCTCTAGTAAGCTCTATCTAGCTGCAGCCATAGACGTTTCGTCACAGATTCGTTTTTAAAAGTTCAAAACGACGGCGGCACAATAAAGTCCAAAGCTTAAACAAAGTATAATGATTTTTTTATTGTTCCTATAATTTCAAATCAATTGTTTCTTATTGTCCTTTTTTTATCAAATTTTTTAAAATAATTCTATTATCTATACGTATCTCTATAGGCTTTTGTTGGTGGTTAAATTAAAACAGATTTATGAGCCTTTTTTAAATTGTATTATCTTATAGTAGGTATAATTTTAAGTATTGTATACTATATTGAGTTATAACTCACTTTAAAATTAAAATTAAATATCAATAAACCCCTAAAGAGAATATTATGATATAAGAATTATGAATTATGATATCTTCATCAGCTTTAAATTTGACAGACAGCTACGGTTTGGAGATGCCAATAATATTCTATATCTATGATAGATAATCCAACTCATGTATATTCTGTGCCCAAGACGGTCGACGAGTGATTCGAAGAGAAAATATCTGATTACAAGGACATTACCAGTGCCGCAACAACCGCAGAGGCAGCAGGGGCAATGCCCCTGTAGAGGGCCACTAATCGTCGGCTCAGGGGGCCCCGACGGCGGCACCCCGCATCTATTTTAAATGTAAAAAAAGTATGTCTTTAATGAAAAAAATTGAATCATTTGATTTTTTTTAAATTATATGTGAATGGGAGAAAATACTGCCTCCATTACATGGAGTATCAAAAAATTTGCAGTACAAAGATACAGATTTACAAAAAGCCCGTGATCAACTGGAGAACGCATACGATTGGTATAATCGATTAAAAAATTAAGAGAAAATTATGATAATGTTGTAGACGATGCAAAACTATTATGTTTAAAATGGGGAATATCAACTAAATATAAGGCAACTCGACCACAATTTGCAAAAAAAAATTTTGATGATGTTGATGGAGACCGAAGACTGGAAATAACTGAAGAAAATTTCAGAATTAAAGTGTTCCTTCCTGTTGTCGACACTGTATTAAGCCAATTGAAAAACCGTTTCTTAGGCCTGCAGAAAGTATGTAGTACTTTTGATTTTCTCAGACCTCAATTAATTAATGAATCTGGAGAAAATGCAATTGTTAAGGAATCATATGACTTTGTAATTAAATATCAATCAGATATAAGTTCTGAGTTTACCAGTCAACTTATCTCTCTTAAGGAAATGATCATAGACAAAAATTTAAAAACAATTTGTGAACTTGCAACATTTATCCTAAAAAATGATTTTTCTATAAGTACTAGGAGCCTGCATGCTATTCTCAGTATTACCTGTTACAGTTGCCTCTGCAGAAAGATCATTTTCTAAGTTAAAACTTATTATAAGAACTTTCTGAGAAATTCTATAGCACAAGATCGTTTGACTACCTAATATAGGCATATATTTATACTTAATATAGAACAAATAAATTCGTACATTAGAATTAAATTTAGAAAAAGTTATAAATGACTTTGCTAATTTAAAAGCAAGAAAAATGAATTTCCGTGATTAATTTGAATGATTCTATTTCTATAGCACATATTATTATAAGTATTATGATTTATGACACATTTACAAAGACTTGAACTAAGTTATACAAATGCATTCCATATTGTTTGTAATTATTTTTTTCTATATAAATAAGTACCTAGTAGATACCATATATTATGAAATTTGTTGAATTAATGTATTATATCAAGTAATAAGTATAATAAATTGATATCGTATTAATTATTATTATTTGTACATGTTTATGATACATTTTTTATCATTTTAAATTTGGTAAAGATTTTTTTTATACAATTAAATGTTTAAATATAATATAGGTAGGTGCAAACAATCTTTTTGCTATGCAATATTTTTTTAGAACCATACATTATTACAAAAGCTTTAATTAATATTTATAATAAAAAAAGAACACTAAAAGTGTGTTTAATTATATTTTAATAATAATACACTGGTCACTGGATATAGTGGGCCTTCACATTATATTTTTAGGCTTTTAAAAAAAATCACCATTATTATTTATATTTTTATAAGTAACCTATAAAAAATATTATATACATAGACCTCGGGGGGCCCCATATATTGACTTTGTCCGGGGCCCCAAGAATCCTAGTTGCGGCACTGGACATTACACAGGTATATTTAGTTGTCTACTTGTCTCCATCTTACAAGTGCTAAACTGTGCAAAATGGCAAATTCAAGCTCAGCAGATAACGTTTTAGCTTCGTTAGCTTATACGAATGAGAGTGAGTAAACTTATAAATTATTATAAATTTTAACGGCAGAAGCAGAGTGGAAAGTCTGAAAATGGGAAATTATACTGATCATTATAAGTAAAAAAATCTATAAATCATTGCAATCTGGAAATCTTTAAAACAAAACTCTAAATTTAAAAAAAGGGATTAATAATTGAACATTTAGAATCCGTCATGTTTGATATTGATGGCAATTACAGAACATAATATCTTTACATGGTTGGATATGAATATATTTGAAAAAAAATTATCAAGTGGATGATATAATTTTTGCCGACATGAATTTGGTTACCACCCCACCCCTCCTTGAGTAAGAATATCATATGTTTTTACGAGGTTAATTTTTAGCAAGTTTGAAGACTTGAAGTATTATAATATAGTGTACATTTTTTGCTCACCAAAACATAGAATTATCATACAAATGAAACATTCATACAAACACAGATTAACGATCTCGTCAACTAGTCCACTACAATTTATAGACTATCAATCAAGTGAAACGTGAGCTACACAGTGAGTATTTGGTAGTGTAAATTATACTACTATGCGTCCAGATCACTTTAGCCGTAGCACTCGTAGCAACCTCATACCTGTGTTAATGTAATGTTCATCGTTGTACTGAGAACTATAGAAACAAAAACAGCACACACCTTTACAACAAAAATTGATAGTCAAGAATGGTGTACAATACGTGGGTCGATCCCGGAAGTAGTGCAACTCCGAGCCAACCCGCGGTGGAGCAAGGGCAAGCCCCAAAATCTCCACCATGATTCGAAAAAATTAGTTTAACATGTGAACCACTGAGTCAGTGGAGTACCAGATGTTAAGCTGATAAGAACAGATACTACACTTGATCTTAGCCATTAGGCCGAGAAGCGATGACTTGAATTAATCGTTTTAGAAACTATAAGAGAGTCCTTAAGCGTGCGATTTGTAGAGGTGTGTAGCAAACGAAGAGTTGTTTAATCATGATAAGTATGATTTTGAGTACAATTAGCATCACAAGGTACAATTCTTTTTAAACAAAAAAGGAATTTATTGATTTTAGTAACTTTTCAATTTCGTTTCTTTTTTGTTGAGTGGACGCTGCGATTGTAGCTGTGAATACGATACTGATCGGTCTGTACACGCCATCTACCGATTGTAACACGCAACAATATGTCTGTACCACACAAACATGTGTCTATAACAGCGAATTAAAGATTTTTAGAAATCGCAGACCTAACTATTTTTTTGCTGAATACCTTTTTTTACAAAACATCTATACTATGTTAACACAATCAAAATTATAGTACCTAATTATTTTAAATACTGATCTCAGTGAGAAATCTATAAGTTTAAGATTGTACAATGGACAATGATTTGAGTACTCTTATTTTATTAAGTAGGTAGTTGTTTTATTTACTTAATTATTTAATTATGTATAAATTATACTTTTATATAAAATGTAATATATTATAATGGATAGATGCCCAAAAAATATCCACACTACCAATAAAACATTAAAACGTGAATTTATATTAGCTAAGTAGTAGAGTGGTGGTTAATTCTAAGTAGAAGGACAATGTTAAAAAGTAAATTATAATATTATATGGCATTATCAAAAATCAATTCCTTCGAATCACTCTCTGAATAAAAGGTGCACAAGCATACAGACTGACAAGTGACCCGTAATTAATATCGAGACAAACACTGGACTCGGGTAATTCAAATTTTAAAGCAATATGTCATAGATTTGTGTACAGTACCTACATGGCTACATTACGTTTTTTAGTTTGTGATTTAAAATTAACTGTAGTCCCAGCTTAATTTTTTTATCTCTTTCATAAAATGCATTTAAAAAATGTATTTAATCTATATACTATAATTCGTGGATTAAACGTGAGTAATTTAGAATTTAGATAGTGCAAATTCTGACTTCAATCAGAAATCAAATAAACAGGATTTATTGTATACGATTTATCATCTATAAAAAATTTAAAATTTAAAAAGTATAAAGACAACGTGAAATTGTACTCAAAGTATCCTCTCAAATCTCGTCTGAAATAATAATATACAAGCCAATCTATTTTGAATATAATATACATCGCGGATCAACGTGCTACAAACACATTGTATTCTTTACATCCGTTCTCGGTTTCTCTATAGATGCCTTACTCTGAGTTACACATATTTTTAGTTTTGTCACTAGTTATGACTTAATTGTTGTTATTTAACTATTGCAGTTAGTGCTATGGAGTTCGACGTTATTAGTGTACATTTATGGTATATCTATACCTATGTGTTAAATATATTACAACGGGTAGTTATAATATTACCATTGTAAATAATTACGTTCCATAAATATATTTTATAATAAATTCGTACGTTTACCAATAGCGACGACGACAAATCAATGTTCACTATTTTACAGTAGGTACCTACCAGAAAATAAATGTATATACGCTATCATTATAAAAATCATAAGCTATATCTAAACATGTAAAAATTATATTAGAAATTTACAAAGAGCACACGTGTTAATACATACTACTATACAATATAAGATACATAAATGGCAGATAAAAGTCAGCTAGTAATGATACGTTTTTTTACTTACAACAATTTCTATTCAAAAATTTTAAAATAATTTAAAGTAAACGAAATGTAATGATGTGATGATGTAAAATATTTAAATATCTAAATAAGTCGAATATAGTATAGGTACAATGTTAAGTACATATGGTAAGGAGATTGGAATGTTCTTCTTTAGCTACCATATTGATGTGATCTGATTTGCAGGAAACTTTGTGAGTGCTTGAGCGTTATGTGAGTTTGGAGACCATATGAGTCTTAAAGTTGTATTTTTCAGTAAAATTATTAGTTTGTTATTTTATGCATAGAAATACCTGTTAAGCTATTGTGTATGAATGGCTGAAGAATAATTGAAGAATAATTAGAGTATACCTACTTTTATATTATTACATAGTATGTTGTTTAAAAATGAATTTTTCTATTATTTTCCTACATAATACCTGCCAGCATTTATATATACCTTGACTTATTTTTTTTTAAACAATTAAATTAAAATACCATATTTAGGCACCAATGAAAATTGTAAATGAACACTTTGAGGTGATACAGATATGCATATAATTATTAAATAGCTAAATTTCTTTCGATGTAACGAATGTCTCTAACAAGTTTGCTGAATTGTGAAGGGTCTAATGAACAAATATGATCCGATCCCTTCATATTTCTGTCTAGTGTGATATGTCTTTCAATAATCTGAAACAACATTAATATAATTACAATAATCAATTAATATTTAATAACTTCGTTAAGTATTAACTAATATTTTCTAATAATTACTAATATAAAATATTATAGATGCTGCTTAAACGGACACCTCACTTAACTAAAAATGTATAAAGTCCAGGCAAGACAAAAGGTATTTCTGCGTATTTCGTCCAGTCTATATTCTATTATAATGTTTTTATACTACGGAACTGAACAGTAATATTTATCCCCGGTGCCAGTAGCACAATAATTGATGTTTAATAACGGATAACACTCAGTAAAACTCAAATATAATTAATACATTTCAATTAATTTTCATTACAATATAATATTACTCTGTAATTGCATTACTTTAAAACACTAAACAGAGTCTCAATACTTTTTCTATATAATGGACATTTCCAATGACCCATTGAGAGTTCGTTGTCCTACAGCAGAGAAATATAGAAATATAGTATATAGACAACAGAACAATATGGTTATTATTTCACTGTATTTCTGTATGTTCTATAATGTAGTTACTCCCATAATCCCCTCTTCATATCCTTACTTTTGCACCGAGTGCTACTGACGCAGCTGTCAGAGAAGAGCCCACTTCGTGGCCGGAATAACCAATGATCGTGTTTGGAAAAGTCTTGCGGAGCGTCTTAATCATGTTCAGATTTGCCTCATCCGGTGGCGTCGGGTACGCGGACACGCAGTGTAACAACGCGAAATAATTATGGTACCGGCTGACTGTCTCGTAAGTGATCCGTATGTCGGCGAGCGTCTGCATGCCGGTAGATATGACCAACGGAACGTAAGCTTTGGCCGCCTTTTCCAATAACATTACATTGCCTGATTCGCCCGAACCGATTTTCACAAACGGCACTTTGAGGCTAACGATGAAATCGAATGAAACCTGCAGAAAACGGATATGTCATCTAAATGAACGATACTTTTTATATTATAGATAAAGTGGATAGTGCTCATTAGTGACAAATCTATGGGTCACTTCCCCCAACCTATAGTATCTTTAGTATTTTGTTTATTTTATTTAAGATATGTTTGAAGTACCAATACACATAATTTTATATCTTGTATAAGAAATATAACAATATACGAGTTAAACCCTTTGAAAAAAAGCCTACGTAGGTACTCCACTATGTATATATGTATAAATATACCTATTGGGGCTAATAAGTATTTGTTTTTATTCACACAACGATTACCTACAATAATTAAAATATAGCTTCAGTGGAAGTGAGTTTTAAACCATAACAATAATATTAGGATGATGTAAAAAATTAGAAAATCGTAATATAATAATATAAATGTATTCTGATAAATTGTTGCAGCTAATTTACCGGGTCCATTGCTGATGCAGTGAAATGAATTCCGACTTTTTTTACAGCATATCTCCTCAGTTCCTTATATTGATCTTCAGTGAACTCTAGAAAGTGTTTGTGTTCTCCGTAAGTCGTACCGAAAGAATTTTTACTGTTGTACAGTCTATTTCTGGCCAACAACGTGAATTTTTCATCTATACAACTTTTTTGAAATTTTACACAGTCCGCGCCACATTTCTAAAATAATTAAACCATACGATTTATACATAATAATATGTATACTATCAAAAAAGCATACATTATAGTATTATATATATTATAGATTAGGTACTTACTTTGGCCAATTTGATCAATTTTTTAGCCATCATTATATCACCTTGATGATTTTGTCCTATTTCAGCGATAATATAACATGGGCTTTTAAAATGTATGGATCGGCCCAGATTGATTTCAGTTATATAGTCGGTATACTCTGGTACTGGATCATCGTACGGCATATAATGAGTATAATGTTGCAGTCTAAAATTATTATAATATGTTAATGAATTACGAGTACCTAATACAATAAATTAACATGCAAATGTATAATGAAAATATAAAATAAAGAAGCCTAACATTGTTATGCAAAAAAATTATTCTGTGAATAAAAAAATTTTTAAATTGTATTATCAGTAGAAGTGAAGAATAATATCTAAATGTATTGTTGCATATTGATTATATTTAGAAAATTAAGTATTGTATGCTCTAAATCTAAAAATACTGTAGGGTATAATCGCCATATAGTGTATAACGTGCTACAAAGTAGTTTTTTGACTATAGTGATGAGACATGAGAAATGATTGAAATAATTTATTTAAATGAAAAAGTTTTTTTAGCTATAAATTCAAAATACAAACTGTTAAAAAAAATCCGAGGGTATTAAGTATTTACGTATTATCCGTACTAGTGTACTACATGTAACAGTTAAAGCTTCACTAAACTTCCGTTACAATACCATAATATTATATGTATAAATATATTATTTGGATTAAAACTGGTCTTGCATATTTTGAAAAATGAATAAAAATATATAATAAATGTAGGTAATCATACAATATACTAACAGAGCTAGGTTCAAAAAACTGTAGATGTATTATTACTTAGACTTTATTTATCAATAAAATCTCATTAATTCGGAAAACAAATAAAATAAATAATTATAAGGACATAAAAAGTGTTAAATTAACAAACCATATAATAATATTATGAATTAGGTAACAGGTAAGAATTATATAACCTATATAAACCAATAATAATAATTGTACACCTATAATTAATTCATTAGTTACTTATTAGTTAGTTATATTGATTTTTACTGTATTTTTCCCTCAAAAAAACATTTATTTTATTTTATGTTTTCCGGAAAGAATTTCTAGAGTAAAAATTGAAGTAATAATATAAGTTAAACCTGCAGTGTTATCTGGTAAATTGTCGATCGATACTGGCAGTCCGTATAATATAATATAATGTTATTATAAATAAATTGTAACTTATAAGTTATAAGTATATTTGCAATATAAAATGTTATCCTGAAAAATATCATACCCATCAAAATCAGAAACAAAAATTGGATCGTCTTCATCAACTTCAGATAATAGCTGTCGACCGATTACTACTGGGAAGTAAAATCCACACATGCTCTGTGTGTCACTAACTTTGATTTTCATATCTTCCGCTTTTAATATGGATCCACGTTCTAAATTTTTTGCAGCTACAACACTTTTGAATAACTTTTTGAAACATGGCAGTTCAGATGGGGAGAGTTTGTCTTTTTTCCCTGTTCCTAACGCAACTTCAACTGTCCTAATATTAGTCACCATGGTACGGAAGTCTCGAGTAGAGATAGACATCGCGTGATCGTATCCGATAGATTTATCGTCCAACGTAAACTTGCAAGATATCGCCTATAACAAAAACAATTATTTGAAAAAATAAATACATTTTCCTACATCTATGAACTCTTAGTATAATAATAATAATATTTATTTATTGCAATCACAAAAATGTATAAATTTCATATTCATATAAGTATTCAGTATTTCAGTATACATACAGAAGTTTCAAACTTATATTATAAGTTTTCACTTGTATGTGGAATCCACATTGTGGATAGCTGAGTTCATTAAAATAAAATAAAGTAACTTACAAAATTAAAACAAAATTAAACAAAATAATAAAAAAAAAGATAAAACTTTAAATAATGTTACAATAAGAAATAAAAATCAATCCAGGTATGTCTATACAAGACAATTTACGCAAGTGAGAATTTACAACACTTTATTTTAAAGTATAAGTATTAAGTACTTACATCATTTTTATACTGATTAAAATTAACAAAAGAAAAAAAATTTATGTTGTATTTATGTGATAATACTATAATTGTATTTACCTTTACTTAGGAGGCTTTGATTGCCAAAATTAGAGTTATTAAAGGGAATATTGAGGTTGTTATTATTTTTAATTTCGTATTATAACTTATAAGTATGCGATGGCCGATGGTTAATAATCTTTGGTAGTAGTTTTAATTTTAAGTGTATAAACTTGTTTGATTCTATTCAATTATTTTCCCCAGAGTCGGCCGTCAGCCGTTTGGTGGTTCTTAACATTTTAGATTTAACAACTTTATCACAAAACAAGTCGAAAATCGTGGTTTATCGATCAAAAACAATACAAATATTAGTTTGAGTGTGAAATAATCCATGAGTAATTTGTTTAATGAGGTTTAATCAAACTGTCAATATAATCATAATAACGAAACGGTGATATAAAATAATATTATACTTTAACGTCATAAGAAATCACAATTTGAAATATATGAACAAATTAATTAATTCTAAAAAAAAACAATTTTTTTTATATCATTATACGTTCTGGACCAGACAACTTAATCTCAACAGTTGAGGGTCGTTTCTACCATGGAACATTGTATCTAGTTGGTACTAAGCTCCTCCATCTTAGCTTATTTTCCCCCCGTAAAAATTCGAAGCTTCCCAGTACTTTTCTTGATAATTTGAAATAACTTAAAAATTAACATGAGTGTGAAAATGGAAAATTTACACAATACCGTGAAGGTTTTTGCCAAAATTAAAGAAATTATTTTTGTAAATCGAATGACGAATAAGTACTAACTACACACCTACACACTATTCACAACCCCTTACCTCCTGCACACGTCTCAAATACCGGCGACTCTTCAAAAACTGCTCTGATTATAGGTATACCTAATAGTTGTAATATAAATATAGTTAAATTAATTTATATTTAAATATAATTAAGTGTATACTACCATATAATTGCAGTAAAAAAAACGTTTAACTTTTTAATTTTAAGCTATTAGTTATTTAATATTGATAAATAGTCAATTCTATATTAATTACTTTTATTCCGATAGCAATAACCACTTCTGGAAGACAGGTGCTCATTTCTTGAAATTCCCAAAACTGAAGTTCGTGTTTGGGAAATTTTTGTTGTATTTTTTCCACTAGATCGACGGTTTCATATGATTTACGATCTTCGGAAAAATCCTTTTCTGGAATCGAAGGAAACGCTAGTTGCAAGTCACTACTTATTTCATCCTCGTCATTATTTATATCCTTAAATTGCTGGATTGGAGAAATTTGACGAATTGAATTCTAAACAAATTAATAGCACATTTGTACCTATGTGAAGTAATGCGTAATATGCATTTTACAAACTGACTAACCACTAACGATTTGGTCGTGAAAACAGCCCCATTATCTTGAGCCAACTTATGAAAGTTTGTGATATCTTCACTAGTAAATGGATTGGAATTTTCGTCAAGTTCCATTAATACATAATCCGCGCCACATTTCTAACAAAATTATAATATTATTAAAGACAATTAGTTGATGATTTCTATTCTGATAAAGAAAATAATAAATTTATTATTATTATTACAACTTATTTATAAAATAAAGGATTTTAAAAATTAACTAGTTATAGTAAGGTATACTTGGTATAATATGTTTAGGTATATTTTCAAGGAAAAGTCAATAAATACATTTTCATGAAATTTGAGCATTTAATATATTTTAAATGAATATTAAAAATGTTGAATTACAGTAATATATTCGTATATCTATATAATTTAAATACAAATTAATAATTTTATTATATTACATCACAATTTATAAATGACAATGTATATATTTGATTTAGATTAAATATGTAACAAAAATAATTATTAATTATATTTAAATAATAACTCACAACAATTGAAAATATGCTTATATTATTTGGAACTAGTAAAATAATTACATTGTCATCTTACATTAAGAATAGAAATTTATTTCATACTTTTAAAAGAGTTATCACTATTTTGTTTTTTCGATTTATAGACAATATAATTTAAGGAATTTAACCTAATATAATATATTTAGGTAGTGCCTATTATGTATAGTACAATATTTTAATACCTTGAATTTGAAAATTGATTGAGTTGTAATCTTATCAAAAGCTATTATTACTATTATTATAGATCTATATGCCAATATATTCTATATCAACTATGAAATACTTACCTAATATGGCTGAACAATTATAAAAATACCTAGTTTATACATTTCTAGGTAGAATAGCATATACAGTGCAAATAATACTCATGAATTATTATACGGCATAGTACTAGTATTATTTATATATTAGAATAATTTGTAATTACAAATTTACAATATAATATTACTTTAGATAAAACATTTTTTTTATGAAAATACTTAAGGCGCTTCTGTATGTTTTATTTTATCCATGGCATCTTCTATGGTTCCTAATGCTTCAAAATGAATATTGTCCATTCCTAAAAAAGTAATAATTATTATTTATTTGATATAATGTATTTGTATTTAAAATGTGTATATACCTTCGGTTGTTTCAATAAAATCACGTAAAATGTCTAAAGCTCTTGTGGCTTCTTTGTAAGAAACTTTTCTTGAAGTTGAATGATCGTCTCTGTCATTATCACGTATACAGTTATTTGCCAATCCCGCATCTTCAGATTCTATTTCAGAATCGTTCAAATTGCTGCAGATTGTTAGGTTATCATCAATTTTGACATAACTGTTAAAAGTAAATTCTGGCATTAAATTATACTTTTGTTTGATATACGACCATTCAGGGTGATTTTTTTCTTGATAGGGTTCTTGGTAGGAAGAAATTGTTTGAACAAGACTTAGTGTACCCGGGTGTTGAAAACCTGCTTTTTTGAAACTATTTGATATTACTTCAGACGTAACTTGTCTCCATGATTTGTCAGTTATTCGTATAGCTTGAAGCAAATCAATTGAAATAGTGCGTTGAAGTTCAGTATTAGAAGTTATTTTACGTATCACTTCTTTTCTATAAAAAACCTTGAAGTTTTGGATTATGCCGTGGCCAAGTGGTTGGATTTTTGAAGTGGTGTCGGTTGACAAAAACTTGATGGTAATCGCTTTTAAATTTGGGATAGTGGCATGAGCAGTGCAGTTATCAATAAATAATATAATTTTACGATTTTCCTTGAACAACTTTTCATCAAATTGTTTAAGCCATTTATTCCATAATAACGCCGTCATCCATGCTTTTGGGTTTGATTCATAATCTATTGGTAAAGATTTAATTCCTCTGAAGCATCTTGGTTTAGTAGACTTTCCGATTAGCAATGGTTTGATTTTTTCGGTACCACTCATATTAGTACACAAAAGAACCGTGACGGCGTGACGCGTTCCTTACTTCGTTTGCCATCCCGGCAATCGTCATCTCCATAAGATAGCTGCTCATTACTGTCCGGTAGACATTTATAAAAAATTCCTGTTTCGTCTGCATTGAAAATGTCGTTAGGCGAATATTCGTTGATGATGGTTAAAATATCATTTTTCCATTGAAAACAAAGTTGATCTTTACTGATAGAAAAATTCGACAAATTTCCACTGCAAGGTTTGCGTAAAGTAATGTTGTTTCGCTTTTTCCATTTATCCAGCCATCCAGTGCTATTTTTGAAATTCGTGTACCCCAGTGACTTTGCAAATATGTTGGCCTTTTCTTTTAATATAGGTCCACTTACGGGTAGGTTACTATTCTTACAATGGACATACCAATTGAATAAACTAGAATCCAGATTCGGAAACTCAGATAGCTTAATTTTCTTCCGGCTTGGTTGCAATTTGAAATTCGTCAAAATTTTTGTTTTATTTTTTAAAATAGTCGATAACGTAGAGCTCGGTATGCCAAATGCGTTTGCTACTTCATAATTTTTTTTCCCGCTCTGTTCGACCATATTAATGACGTTGACTTTTTCCGCAATCGTTAAGATTTTTAATTTTCGTTTCGACATATTTAAAATATAAAAATTGTTTTTTTTAAATATAATTGGACAGTAAGTTCACGCTTCCACAAAACCGTTTAAAAAAAGACCCGCATACGACCGCGTAAACTGATAAACGTATAGTATTTACTATTGAACCCAAATACTACACTGCACTGCTACAGATTCACGTCATGGATAAATATAAATAAAACTGCTACCGTATGGGTGATAATCCGAAAATTGCAAAATTTACTGAAGTGTAAAAATTCGATTTTTTAAAGTATAGTATGTGGACAATAATATTATATTGCAGCAGTAGGTATTGTTACATATTGTATGATAAAGTACGCTTACTTGTATTATAATTACAAGTCGAAACGATGTGGAAACTCTGTGGGGTGGGAAGGGGAATTCGGGGATGATACTTTTTTGCACGGCCGTCGGAGTTCGCAGATTTATAGATGATGATCGTCCAGCATAAATATGTAGGTATAGATGTATCTTATAATTGTATATAATAAATATTAATGTAATAAATCTACGGCATGTAGGTACGTCCGATAATTCGAAAGAGATTATATTATTGATGTATTACACAATTAATATAATATACGGCCGAGGGCGACCATAATATATCGTCTACGAGCAGTGCGCGCTCGCAGTTGTATCGTCTTCAGCTCTCGCAGCGGCCGTGGTTAGCGGATATAATTTCAGTACGAATGTTATCGTCATCGCAGATATAATATTAAAAATATTATATCATTATATATTTATTGTACATATTTTATAATAAGCACACACTCATTATATATAATAATATAATCGAAACGACGAAGCGAATAATGTTTAAATAATATAGTACAATATTATGATATCGTCTGGCGTTCAAGGTGTTCGTCCTACAATAATAATTATGTGTAAAATAGAGTCACGCTGTGATCGGTTTTTAAAAAAAGTGTTTCAATCATAAATTATATATTATGGCTCACGCATGCAGTTTCGATCAGTTCGCAGGCCAGCTTCGAGTTTCCTTCGTGATTCGTCGACAGATTTGCGATGACGTACACCCGACTGTTTTTGGCAATGTTCTTCATCCCGTTCAGTAAGATTAGGTAAGCTATTCGCGAGCGTCCGACTTCCAGACGAAAACGATGTACCTACTCGGGCCACGGTCGTCGGCGTTTTGCGTATGCCGTATTGATTTTTTTGCCCGCCACAAGTGGCGAATGACGTTCAAAGTTTCGTGGCACAGAACCGCGGTCGATGATAAACATAATGACCGCTACCACGACCACTGATGGACGGATGAACGAATGATACCAGACAGCAGCTGATAACGAATGAAAAATAATAATATTATTATTTACCACAATAGATGGTAGGATAGCTTACTATTTGGCAATTTAGCATATTATCCTTACTAGTTTGTTTTATAGTGCTACTAAAGTACAACATTACCGTTTACACTTTACTCCATCTAAACTACTTCGTATTTTTGTATAATATAATTATTGTAAAATGTACGTAAGTCGACCGTGACTGTTGTGATTTGCAATGCCAATGCATACAACGAAGTAATATCGCGGAAAGAAGTTTTTGGTGTATCAGTTTTCAATCGAACACGAATCATGTCTTTTCAGGATCCAACGTTCGTCGGTGACACTCCAGAGTTCCAGAACAAACGTACAAACCTGTTCGCCGTGCTTGATCAAGCAGAGAAGGACTTGGAGTCAAAAATTATAAAAGCTACGACGGCTGACGCACATGAAATACTCAATGGTCGTGTAGTACGCAGAACTGGTCGCTCGCTGACCAGACAGTTCCGAGGCAAAGACAGTCTGTTTGTCAAGCCTGAAATACCACCGTGGCGAATAATTGAAAAACACAGACCTCCAGATTTCAAATTGCATCCTCATAAGTGGACTAAATATTCATTGGCTGATGTAAACGAAATGAATGACAAAAGCAATGCAGCTGCCGCATTTGCTTTTCTTAAAGAAATGCAAACCAGAAAATCTAAAGATGACGAAAATGATAATGAAGAAGGTAAGAAAATAGTGTTCAAGAGAACCATGAAGTCCAACAAACCTGAAATGAAACCGAGTTTTAAGAGTACCAAACTGGTTATGCCAGAATATGAATTTGGAAAAAAGGTACAGAAGAAGAAAAGTAGACCAGAACGTACAACAGATGGAACTACTTCTCACAAAGAAATCAAACTTGGGCATTTAATGGAAGATGAAATTGATGAATGATTCATAATTTGTGTAAATTGTAAATATTAGTTGTATAACTCATTTTATGTTAAGAATCTTATAAGTTATTTTTAACTAAATAATTCAATTAATATTATCCAAATAAATTATTTATTAAAAATGTAAAAATCCACTCAAGTCTTGATTGTTTAATACTATCAATATTAACAAAATAAATGATTTGAGAATTTAATAAATCGTCCATAACTTAATATAATACCCCTTCCCCTCACCCCTCTTTAAATAATTAAAGTAAAATATATTCTAGTGTTAGTATAAATCAAAAATTTACTGTGAAAAAAAGGATTAAAAAATATAATATATTAAATATTTATTTATTTTTTGTTATTATATTATTATATTTTAATGTTATTTGTATTCAAAAATTGATGACAAAATGTGTATAATGTTTAAATAAATACATCTTAATGTAACACGGTTTAAAAATATTTTAAAGAAGAAAAATAAAACTTTATATAGGTATTTTTTTGAGATAAGTTCAATTTAAATATATTATTCATTAAATATTAGGTTGTAGGCAGTCAACAATCACATAAATAAAATCAATGAAAAATAATTTAAAAAGACAAATATTTCCCAAAAAAATATGATCATTAAACTCTTATATTGATATTACAGGGGATATTACCTATAAAATTAAAATACGTAAAGAAAATGTCAATAAATAAATTGTTGCACATAATGAGTGCAGAATTAAAAATTATGTGTAAAAACACGTATTATATGTTAATAATGAAACTGGGAACTTTTGATTATCAATCATAATTCATAACAATATAAAGGAGGAGTTACACAAATGGTTTTAGTGTAATACTAAATTGAATAGGATAGTTAAAAAAAATTATTGTATGCTCTTTTTTTTTAGAAAATTCAGAGACTATTTAAGTACAGTTTTGAGGTGATATGCTGAGAAACTTAAATCCAAAAATGTAATATTAAATATAACATAAAATATATTTGTTTATAGTGCTTCAAAACACATACAAGTTACACATAAAATATATAGATGTATAAAACTTATTATACCTTATTAGTTATTACAAACAACTTTTTTTTTAAATAACTATACAAATAGGATAATAAAGTATAAAATTATACAAATTTGAATAATGCTGATATGTTATGCTTAAACTAAATATCATACAAATACACAAACATAAAAATTAAATAGTTTCCTAAGAAGAATGTGAATTAATAAATAATTACGACAAAATAATGTGATGAAAATTAAAAGTATAGGTATGAAATACTATAATTGCACATACAAATAATAAAGAAGTATATAAATGAACTAGTTAGAAATCACAGTTTAATCAATTAATATAAGGCACAAAATTCCAATGGCATGTGTTAATCAATCATTTTAAATATTAATTAAATTAAAATCACCGTGTTAGTTTATTTTTAAATAAAATAAGAATAAACTATCTTTTAAAATACATTTAAAATTTAAAACTTGTTCAAAGTTTTAATTTATTAAAACTATAATGCCTTTGAGTAAATTACGAAAGAAAATGATTTTCTATTTTTGACTTTGTACTCGATTATTTTTTTACAAGATTGAATAAAAAAATTAATATCTGACATTATTTAAGCTTTAATAAATGGATGAACTGCAACATTTGGTGGTATGATATATACAATACCACCATTATCATCTTTTCTAAAACTTGCAGTTGATGTTTGTGGATTGACTTCAACTCGAAGCATTCGAGACTTTTTTCCCAACATACAATTAAATTTGTTGGACACATTTACTGGTAACTCAGAATTCCTCAATCTAAAATAATACAAATTCTTTAAATAACGAAACAAAATAATTTATAAATTTTATTAAAAATATATATCACATATGTATAAGTTAATAATTTTTTTAAAATTTTAACAGAATTTAAGTACTCTGTATTAGATATCATAAATTTCAATTTTCTTACTGGAAATATCTGGTGCTGATTACTCCTAAAAGCTCTCCAATCCTGTCTTCATTAATGTCAGTAGTTGGTTTTAAAGTAACTACAAGATCATTTCCTCGATTAGAATGAATTACAACCAGTTGATCTTGACCTGGACTTACACTCATTCCGGTTACCTAACAATAAGTTTATAAATTATAATATGTCTATAATTGGTTATTTTAATCACAAATTGTTTACTTCTTGTATAGGCATTCCTTTTTTCATTGGTTTGAAATTTGTTATGTCCAATTTATAAACTGCCCAATCAGTTATTAATATTGCACGATCTGCACACTTATTATAACGGTTCGTTTTATGAATAAAACTCGAAAACAACACCTACATATTTTGTTCATAAAATTAATATAACAATCTAAATAAGCATTCAAAATATTATATCAATACCTGATTAAATCGATCAGAGTTCTTTAGGTTATTCAATGCAACTGTATAGTTTGCATTTTCTACATTTTCTGTTGGTGATGAAAGATAATCACCTCTCCACATACGTTTTGCACCCCAACTTGGCCGTTTTCCCCATAATAGAGATGCAGCGTAAACTTTGCATCGTAACTGTGGCCATTCACTTCTAGGATAGGGACTTAAAAGTTTGTATGCCTTCCATCGTTTGTATATAGACTTTAATGAAGGTTCTAATTGACGAACAGCAAAATTTGTGTGGGGCCAAATGATTGATTCCTTATGATGCGCATTCATTTCACAAGTTCTACAACACAAACATTGATTCATCTATCAATTATAACTAAAAGCGTTGATTATATGTAAAAATGTTTAGTTAACCTATGAGCTTCCAAGACAGATTTGAGGTATGTACGTATTTTATGACGCCGATAAAATTTAATTATAAAATAGGCAGCTTTCATTTTGCGGAATTTAGCACGACAAATAGCACCTCGCCACTGTTTTTGCAATAATATAACAATAGCTGGAATTAATTCTGCTCTCATCTGAAAAAATATCATCAAAAAATTAATGTATTTTATTGTTAAATACCTAGGTGTCTTACATACCTTTTCCAGGGAAAATAATGTTTGAGGTGATCTAATAAATAACTTTGTTATCCCATACTTAACATCATTTGAAAAATTATTTTCATCTATTAATGCTCTGGTGGCTTCTTTGTCACTACATTTATAACTAGGCCATGTAAAACCACTTATCATTTTATACCTAAATATAACATTACACAGTATTATTTATTTTTGTTTAATGTACATGATGTATAAAATCACACTTACCTTTTGAGGAATCTGCTATAAGGCTGTCTATGAGCAAATCCAGCCCTTCGTACTCTGACATTTTCTAATAGACCCAAATAAGAAACTTGATGAACAACTCTTTTATAGTCTATCCCAACAGGAGCCTTATTTTCATTTGGTTTTATACATCTCACATAATATGGCATTTTACTATTTAATGTTTTGACCAAAGCAATCATTGATGTTTTAAATGCACTTCCAGCAGTTACTGGCCTTTTTGTTGTCTATGGAAAGCAATGCAATTAAAATTATTAAGCACTTATGAACAAGTTACATAACAATTGTTTTTTGGTAATTATACTTACAGATTTTATATCTAAGGCTCCTTCAGGCCACATATCTCTAATAATTGGGTTCTTTGAAGAGTAAAGCAGTCTTTTAAAATCTTGAAATAATGTATCTTTATTTTTTTCCAAAAAACCATAAATATTGTACACTACATCACCAGCGTAATGTCTTGAAATAATAATAATAATAATTCAAATAAAATGTATATATTAAAAACTATGAACACTTACAAAATTTTAAATTGAGTCTTATGTTTTAAATCTTTGTCCAATGTATTCACCTGTCTGCTAGAATAGTGTTTGTGATGCGACAGTTTTGAGTCCATGGCTTCTAATAACATCTAAACAAACAAATGTAAATTAATTATTCAAGTGAATAATATTTATTTGCATTAATCAACATACTTCATCATTTACTTTGCCTACATTCAGGCAAGCTTCATCCATAATTGCAATTACACCTTGATGTGGTTTTTCAACAAGATCACAAATTATTTGGTTGTTAAAATATTTGATTTCTTGCCAAGCTATGCCTTCTTTTTTGTACTCTTCTTGCTCTTGACGCAACACCAAATCTATTGATGAAATAATACATATAGAAAAACATATTGATTCATTAAATGTGCTTATAGTACAATTTTATAAGTTTTATAAAAATTAATAAACTGTTATAAATTATACAATTTGGTTTATGAATAAGTTGATTATTTAAACAAATACCTATGAATACTTGTTGAAGCTTTTCATTACAGTAATTAATGCAAAATTGTTCAAAGCTATTATGTTCAAATACTTCAAATCCATAAATGTCTAATACTCCGATTACAGTTCCTCCTTTATACTTATCATTTTCAATATATGGTATTAAGGCTTCATTGACTTTACTTACTATCCAAGTAAACAACCGATCATAAATTGCCTATACAAATAGAAAATTAAATTAAAATAATATTTTTGCAGCAAGAAAATTAATAATTTAAATAATACTTTTGCTAATGCATCTCTCCCAACTTCAGCCTGAGATAAAGTGTGAGCTTTCTGCAATACTTCACCATTTGCTGCAATTATACGTTTACTTAGAGCTGTTAAAAGATCATTTGTGTCAACCTCTAACAGCTTGGATACTTGTTCAACTGGATTATTATGAGATTTAGTCACAGTAATAGTATCATCATCATTGGTTGAAAATGTTACATTTCCCTAAAATTAACAGAACAATAATTTATTAGATATTTATTATGTTGGCAATTTCAAAATGTATTTACTAATTGTAAGATAGCAGCAACAATTTTCCAAGTGGTTTTAATGTCAATCACTGAAAATCCAAGTGTCTTACAAGCACTTAAGGTAGCTTGAAAATCAGATTTATCAGCTGATGTGATTGTGGATTTTCCTTGCTGTGTATAAAAATAATGTTGGGGATCTGGATTCAACCCTAAATTGCTAGCTTCTTTATGTGTTGTATTTCCTAACGCCTACAAAATATAAGGTTTATCTATATACTTAATGTCATTTAGTTTTAATTGCATTACTTACCTGGTAAAAACTATGGAAATTACGTTCGCCAAGTTGCTGTTGTATAACACGAGATTTTTCAAGTAAATAATTAATAACTCGTCCACCAATTGGATCTCCTTTAAAATCAAAATT